CTTTCTCTCTCTCTGTATATATCTCTCTCTCTGTATCTCTCTTTCTCTCTCTCTCTCCTCTTTCTCTTTCTGTGTATCTCTCTCTCTTTCTGTCTCTCTATCTGTATCTCTCTCTCTCCTTCTCTTTCTCTCTCTTTCTCTCTCTCTGTATATATCTCTCTCTCTGTATCTCTCTTTCTCTCTCTCTCTCCTCTTTCTCTTTCTGTGTATCTCTCTCTCTTTCTCTCTGTCTCTCTATCTGTATCTCTCTCTCTCCTTCTCTTTCTCTCTCTTTCTCTCTCTCTGTATCTCTCTCTCTCTCTCTCTCTCTGTATCTCTCTCTCTGTATCTCTATTCTCTCTCTCTCTCTCTGTATCATTCTCTCCTCTGTATCTTTCTCTCTCTCTCTGTCTCTCCCTCCATATCTGTTTCTCTCTCCCTGTATCTCTCTCCTCTCTCTGTGTATCTCTCTCTCCTCTCTGTATCCTTTCTCCCTCTCTGTATCTACATCTCTCTGTATCTATTTCTCTCTTTCATCTCTCTCTCTCTTCCTCCTTTTTTAATGACAATGACAGATCAGAGTTTTATACCGACTTAATAGCAGGAGCTCCATTGAAAAAGGTTTTTTGAAAAAAAAAACGGCTCAGATTCTCCATTTCTGGAGCCTCTCTGCACCGGGGCTGAAGACCCCAGGGTGGGTGGGCTGGGGGCTTAGGGGTGTGTGTGAGAGATCCAGGGGCTGGGGGATGATGGCCCTGGTTTTGCTCTTTTTTTGGGGAGGGATTGCCACATTTGTTAAACAAAGCACATGCTGAGGTGGGGAGCTGGAACACCCTCCCCCCCACCTCCCCTTGCTCTCTGCTTTTGTTCAGATTCAAAGCGTCTCTCGGTCGGAATTTGTTTTTTAAAAAAAGAAGAAAGCCACCAGATTGTTGTGTAGAAAGGTTTGGGATAAATCTACCGTAATTGGATTTCCGAATTTGGCAAAAGGACCAATTTAACCCTGCTTCTTGGGTGGTGGATTGAGAATAACCCACAATTCCTTCCTTCCTTCCCTCTTTCCTTTCTCTTCTATCTTTCCTCTCCTTCCTTCCTCCCATCCTCTTTTTCTTCCTTCCTTCCTTCTATATTTTCTCTCCTTCCTTCCTTTTATCCTCTTTTCTTTCCTTCCTTCCTTCAACTTCTATCTTTTTCTCCCTTCCTCTTCTCTTTTCACATCCCTCCCTCCATCCTTCCCTTTCTCTTTTCCTACTCCCTTCCTTCCTTCTATTTTTCTCTCCCTCCTTCCCTTCTCTTCTATCTTATCCTTCCTTCCTTTACTATATCTCTTTCCTCCCTNTCCTTCCTTCCTTTTTCTTTTTCCCCTCCCTCTTCCCTTTCTTTCTTTTTCCTCCCTCCCTTCTTTTCCTTTCTTCTTCCCTCCCTCTCCCCTTGGTTCCTTTTTCCTTCCTTCCTTCCCTCCCTATTCCCTTCTATTTCTTTCCTTTTCCTTCCTCCCCCTCGCCTTATTCCCTTCCGTCCTTGCTTCCTCTTCTATCTTTCCTTCCTTTTTTTCTTTCCCTTTCTATCGTTCCTTCCCTCTGCCCCCCATTTTTCTCCTTCCTTCTTTAGTTTTCTTTCCTTCCCTCTGCCCTCCCTCTATTTTTCTCCTTTCCTTCCTCTTCTATCTTTCCTTCCTTCTATCTTTCCTTCCCTCTGCCCTCTATTTTTCTCATGCCTTCCTTCCCTCCTTCTTCTTTTCCTTCCTTCCTTCTTTCCTTCCTCTTCTACTTTTCCTTCTCTCTGCCCTCTATTTTTCTCATTTCCTTCCTTCTTCCTTTCCTTTCCTCCCTCCCTCTTCTACTTTTCCTTCTCTCTGCTCTCTCTCTCTCCTTCCTTCCTTCCTTCCTTCCTTCCTTCCTTCCTTCCTTCCTTCCTTCCTTCCTTCCTTCCTTCCTTCCTTCCTTCGCCAAATGTGATTTTTTCTTCTTCTAACAGCTTCTGAAGAGACCGAAGCAGCATCCTCTGGCAACGCAGGAGACACAACGGTGAGTTTCTTTTAGTGTAGCGAAGCTGTGTGTATGTGTGTGTGTTTGTGACATCTGAACAACATAGGAGCTCAGCCCCACTTCCTGCCTTTGCCCCCTCTTCCCCACCCCCCCACGCCCACACCGGTCTCCCACCCAAATATCAGGCCGCCTCGTCTTAACACCCTCCCTCCTGCTCCCTTCCCCCAAATACACTGGTTCCCCCTCCCCAACTCTCGGCAGGGGCGCAACTGTTCCTGAATTAAAACTCAAAAATTAATTAGCGTCCTCGTCGGAGGCAGCAGGGTGGGTGGGTGGGCGAAGAGCGATGATTCACCCACGCAACGACAATTGTGTGCAGTCAAGTGTGAATGGAGGAGGTTAATAACGGGAGCGCCAGACACACTTCATTTTTTCCCCTCTCTCTCTCCCTCTGTATGTCTCTCTCTGTATCTCTCTCTGTGTATCTCTTTCTCTCTCTCCTTCTCTTTCTTTCTCTATCTCTCTGTATATCTCTCTCCTCTCTTTCTCTCTCTCTCTCTGTATGTATATCTCTCTCTGTAGCTCTCTCTCTGTAGCTCTCTCTCTCTTTCTCTCTCTATCTCTCTCTCTCTGTATCTTTCTCTCTCTCTGTATCTCTCTTTCTCTCTGTCTCTCCTTCTCTTTCTCTCTGTGTATCTCTCTATATATCTCTTTCTCTCTCTGTATATATCTCTCTCTGTATATATCTCTCTC